TGCCGAGGGTGGCCAAGAGGGTCGGCTGGTGCAAGATGATGATCAGGGCATGGAACCAGAAGTGCAAGAGTATGAAATTAGTTCCTTGGCCGGTCTTCACATATTCTTGAAAGTTAAGAGCGTTGAAATGTAGCCGGGCATCCTGTTTCTGGTACAGCTTCGTAAGCTCGTGCTCCATCTTAACAAGCCTATTCATCTTGTCCTGAGTGAGATCCTTGCTGTCTCGAATGTTGTTGAGAACATCTGACACCCTCCCATAGAGGTGTATGATCTGTATCAATGTAGGGAATGGAGCGGGCCAACCTGTTACTGGATCGACAGCCGGGTCAGGTAAAGCCAGCTCAAAGTCGTCCTCCCGGAAGGTGACTGGCCGGCCAGTGCCTGAAGAAATGACGCGGTCCAGTATGAAGACGGCCCAGAAAGTGTCGATGCGTTCTTGCTCTAGCTCATGTTGCTCTTCTGGGCTAAGTTGATCTTCCTCTGACTCCGCCTTCTGCTCGATGTCTTCTCCATCGCTGTTCTTCCTATTCCACGACCGGATATACCAGGGATCTTTCTCTCCTTGATATTTGACACCGATCTGTTTACCTATGCCGAGATCAACAGCCATCCGAATTGCAAGCCCCAAGTACATCCAGAGAGTGCTATCCTGATTCGCGCCGAAGCCTTCATAGGCTAGCAGAAGACAAGCCTGGACTGCTCCCACAGTGGGGCACGGGAAAGTGTCGACGGTCGCAGCCCTTGCACGCTGAGCAAAGACATGGCCGTAGTCTGCTCTGTCCCCTTCTGTAGCGAAGATTGGAAGCTCGGAGAACCGAGCAGACAGAGAGCACATGGCATCGACAAGGATTGCTTCCACCCTCTTCTCTTTGACCAAGCGAATGAACTTAGCCTCAGAGCGGAGGAATGGATAATTGCAACTGAGATGTAGGAAGAAGATCTTGAGCAGACTGATTATGATGGGATGGACAGGCGCCGGGTCATTTGGGTCATAGGCGGGCATATCCTCGGCGCCTTCCAACACGGCTTCTGAATGATTTGAATGGTTTGAGTTGGAAAACAATCCATGGCTTACAATTGAGCCGGGCGAGGTCCCTGAGAAAGAGCCTCCTCTGCTCCGCCGTCGGTCTCGAACCGACACATTAACGACCATCTGTTTGAAGCCAGGGACGATAGCGGTTGGTCCGAAGTACCGGAAGTACGGGACCTTATGGCTCGGGGTATGATGCTGCATAGGCGAGCGATTATGCGAGCTACGGCTGTCTTCGGAGAACGAGACATTGCGCTGAAAGGATGGTCGCTTGACAGGTCTTCCTGGCGGGGTTGGTTGTGTTTGCGATTGACGGTTTTCCTGCTCCCAGTCGTTGCTCTGAGTCGTCGGTCTTGCGCTGGCCGTGGGTGTCGTGCTGGAGATGGAGTCGCGCTGCGACACGACAGATCCGCTGTTACTCTCGTAGCTGTTGCTTCCATTCCGGGACTTCCAGTGTCGTCGCTCGTCGTCCTCTTCTTCAATGTCCCCTTCTTCTCCGTAGTCATCTTCAATGTCGGTATTCTGCTCTTGCGGACCTCCTCCTCTTTCTGCCTTGATCACGACCCCAGCATCCGTCTTCTTCTCGACGATCTCGGTATAACCCAAGCAGGCGTGGTTGTTCTTAGCACATGTCGAGCATGTTGGTCGTTCTCCGGCGCATCGCGTCTTGCGCTTTCGGCAGGTCAAGCATCTATAAGTATTGTGTCAGTTGGAGCTGTCCGTATGTCTGCATCCCCCTCCTGTGCCAGCTGCACACTTCAACGCGGGACTGTGACCGAAGCCACGATCACAACACGACCGCATTGTTGTCGGATCCTGGGGCGAGCACTCACGCAGCATTAATCCGCCGCCTCTTGGATGGCGGCTGGCCCTGATTATTGACGAATCGGATTTGCTTTGGTGGTGGAAGATTTCCGTTGATCACGGTGGCCATGGCGTCGACGCATTCATAGCAGGATCATGATGCAACGGACTTATCGTAGCGGGCCGGTGGATCGAGGCCCTGGAGCCTGTGGGCAGGATGTGGGCGATATATGTACTTGTGCGGGGCTCTGGTTGGAACAGCAGGCTCGAAGTGAAGAGCTCAATAGGTGCATCCCATCATGGTTGGGCTGTCATAGACAGAGACTCCAGCTAAGCCGTGCGCTCGAGAGAAGCATCCTCAATTGCAACCCAGATATGTGTGAGATGCAGCGAAGACACGTCGTAACAAAGCAGGGGGCCGTTGGATTAAATCCGATTGAGGCGAGGTGAAGTAAGATGTGAGGAGTGGGAAGAACTAATCTTTGCAAATACGGTGATGAAACGGCACGGATTGAACGCGGGGAGGCGTGGGGATGGTGAGGAGAACGGGCAACAAGTGGCCTGAGAGTGGGAAATCCTCAACAGTGTGTATGTGCGTGCTTATAAAGTTAAGCCACAGAGTGGAAGGCATCCATGACGAGATTCCTGGGGAAGTACCGCAATTGTAGGAATCGGATCGGATTAGTTAGCTTCAAATGGATCTGGACTGCACTGGCGGGCGCTCAGGCTAAGAATCTAGGTAACAAACAGTTGAGTCGCCTTTGTCAGCTGTCTATAGAGCAACAAGTAAACGCGGAGGGAAATTGTTAGTGGGCATGGCAGGATACCACCGACCATCGCAAAACAGGAACAGAAATGCACATGCGTTTGAGGGATGGGTTGATCGCCGTGGGGTCGATGGGATGTAGTGTGTGAAGAGATACATTGAGATACCAGGCAATACAGGCTGTACGATGTGATATATCATAGGAAGTCGATAATGTGTGGGCGTTGAAAACAGCTTTGAGCTCCGGCTAGACCTAGGGGCAGGGGATGCTATGGATGCTATGGCGACATAGCGTACCTACTGTACCTTCACACCTACGTACTGTACTGTACATTGAAGAGCTTATTATTAGGCTCTGAAGGGACATATATCTAATCCTTACCGTGGGTGTGAAGGGGAGACGGAAGAGCGGGTTTTCTTGCGCCAGCAACCAGAGACCAAAATCGACCAACCCTGATATATGATGGTAGTCAGGTAGCTAATCTCCTCTTTCCAGGCGATGTTGCAGGTAATGAACAACGCCGAAGAGCACCTGAGGGAAAGCCGCATTGCCGTTCCTCCTCTCTAAGTGCTGAGCCTTGGACGGCACCTTGGCCTGTCGCCCAGATAAGGCGAACATATTCTCCCACCACCCATCTATCCGTAGCTTGCCATCTAAGTGGACGGCCACGTCTCTTATCAGTTCGGGCTACAAGACAAAGACAGCACCAGGCACCTCAATAGGTGAAGCTATACTGTTGCCCGTGCTAATCCCTCCTTGAGGGAGCAAGAGAGAATGAAGGGCACGGCTGAGCAAACAGATCTATATCAGAGAACTCATTTTGAATTACGAGTAATTGCCAAGATCGTCTTGACACAATTGCGCTCCTATCGTTACCGTCCTTGTTGGTTTCCGCAAGTCGGTTTACTGGTGCCGAAGGCCTTCGAAATGAGAGGACAAAGACGCAATTTCGCTCATTAGAGAACGCGGGCCATTCCTAGCGCCCGTAGTCCTGCGGAGACAATGAAGGCACCGCGCAGTTGGCATGCTCTACGATACTAGCCTGTGATAGAGGAGCCGACCATCCCCGGATGAGACTCCTGCAGCTCCCCGCCTGCGGTGTGCATCTGCATGAGGTTAAGTACTGTACCTCTCGAGCTCATCTTTGTTCACTCTGCTCATGTTCCTGGTTGCTGCGTTTTGCTAGGCCTAGCAGCAGGGCAGACCGTTGCATGCATTGCACTTGAGCACATCCTCTTCCGCCATGATCCGGGTCTAGGTCTACAGATCCCGCGAATCAAGTATGCAGGTCTCTTCGCGCAATATCAAAGCAGTGAGTTCCAATACGGCCAAGCTCGCGATAAGAGACAATATAAGGAGCGAGAAGATGGAAAGCGGCCAGGCGCCATCATAACATCGTGCAGTAGCCCGAAAATATTTGCGCTCTGTCCCAGGGGCTTTCTATCACAATGCTCGCCGCTAGTGCTTGCAGCGAGGACCAGACAAGGTATCTTGCTTTCACTTGAACTCTAAGTACCGCGCAAGACACGGTCTCAGATGGGTCTTTTGCCTCCGTGAGATACGATCAGCGTCACCTTTCGCTTTCCTGTCGGCTTCAGTCGACCTTTGCGGGGGCATGGAACTTCTCGCCAGGGCGGCGATCGTCTAACAGCCTAAAAGCTGGATGCAAAACAACGCCCACGACTGTTGTACTGCAACTATACCACCACTGTGGCAGACATCATCCACAAACCTCTCACCCCAGTTCTTGATGTTATAAGGCTATACATGTAAGCTGTGTTGCCTCGGCTGCACATCAGGTTGGTTTCGTAGTGCCAACGACTGCCACATGCCTATCCGCACCATCTGGGTGAAACGTGACCGCATTTTGCCATCGAAAATTACCGCTGGCGAGGTAAAATGAAGGGTATCATCTATTTCTGGAGCATCTATCTCACCCTCATTCACTCGTGCCCTTTACTGGCATGCGTCCCAAGTCTCCTAGACTACAATGACTGTCAGGCCTTTGCCCACCCTACAGCCAACTTCAATTACGCCTCCCCTTGATACCATGCTTCTTCCAAGCTTAGATAATAGATGCCCATCAACTCCCTCTCCACCCCTTTCCAACCAGGTCATACCGAGACGCCAGGATTTCCCAGCGAGCTCCTGAGGAGTACTAAGACTCGTAAGCAAATATTGTGAACTTCTTGATAACTCGCATAGCCAATACGACCATCCTTGGCCATAACTCTCCTTCCAGGGAACGCCGCCCCTTATTATAGGTCCTGTTCCAATAACTCCTTTTAGCTCTCCAACACTCCTTCGTTCCCGTATGTACTCTCCCGTACTTATGTTTCCGCCTGTGATTAGACGCAACTTGATGGAAGCATCCACATTGCCGCCTGTTTTGACGTTGGTCAACCGAAGACAATGTTTACGCCCATGTCTTCACTGACTCTTCTCCACAGATCAGCGCTCTTGCCGTCCCTCTCGCGGCAAGTCACATCAGCCAAGAGGGAGTCTTTCTCCGACATGTCTGTTCGCCGCCACACCTCGCGGACAATATCCCAGGCACGTTCAATATTCATCATGCCCTGGCGCTTCTCGATGCGTACGAAAGCATCTCGTGCCAATTCGCGATCTTCCGCGGTTGCCGCTTCACAAGCGGCAACAAACAATGGCCAGAGTAGAGCACTCATGGGACCTTCGTAAGAGCATGTTGCGGCACAATGCACCAGTGCCGCATGAGCATGTGACTGGACCAGGGGCGATGACCTGGAGTAGCCGTATATTGTCCTATACAAGTACACGAAGGCACTGTGGCGGTAAGCCATGGCATTGTTGAAGATTGAGTGAAGCCGGGCCTTCTCAGGGGACTCCGAATCCTTCGCAGCCTCAGCTTGTTTGGCATGGGCCTTGGCAATACACTCGACGGCATCGTCGGGCGAGAATTCGGAGGGCAAGCAAGGCTGCCACTGTCGCAGAGCGACTTCGATCGCGTCGGACGTCGTTTCGAGTTCTGTGCGGAGAACAGCAATCTTGGATGACATCTGGCCCGTGCCGACCGCATTCTCCAATTCGCTCTTCAGTGACGAGAGACCGGACAGGCGATGGATGATAGGCCATAATGTGGTGGCCATCCCAAGCAGTGTGTCAACGTTGCTAAGAGCTGACACGGCTGGCGCTCCTAATGGCGGGAAGGGCAAGAGGCAGCCCGCAGCAGGGGCGGTTGAGAGTGGTGCTGTTCCAAAAGATAATGCTGCAATAACATCATAGAATCGAAACGCCTATTATAGCTCAGTCAGATTCATCCCTTGCTCCAGCCGAGCATATCACAACTATAGGGGAGCAACTTACGCGTTCTAAGAAGATGGCTGTGGGATCTGTTGGTTCCGGGCTTGAGCTCATAATGGCGAGCGCCCCTTTCAGGTGCCCCTCGACGATGTTCGATCGTCCTTTCTGCACAAGCTGAAAGGAGAGTTAGTCAATGTCCACGTCATAATTCGGGAGAAAGAGCGGTCAACAAACTTACCACTTCGTAATATACAATAAGCATAATCGCTGCCAATAGCTCGTTCCTATTCACCTTGCCCTCGCGCTCTATGAGACGCGCGAGCCCCTGAATAGCCTGGTTATGAAAGTAGAGTGACTTCTCTCCGTTCTCAACGCCTCGATATTCCAAATGAGCACTAGCTAGAGCATATATGGCATTCATTACTGGCGAGCTCTTCTGTGACAGAGGCAGAACGAGCTGTTGGAATGGGTTCCCCGACTCCTCCCTGAACACAATGAGGTGGCTCAACACATTGCAGAAATGATCCACCAGCGCACGTCGATTAGGGCGATCAGAGAACTCGGAAAACGCGGGGACACAAAATTCGAGAAGAGGCGAGCCTGTAGGGCACGGTGCAATCATGGCTAGATCGGGAAGCTTTGAGCCGTGGTGGACGACCGCGTGGCTCGTGACCTCCTCGGCTGTTTCATCCTCGTCGAAGTCAGCCGGCAAGTCGCAGGCAACAGAGCCGATTGGACTCAGAGTCGACAATTCCGCAAGTGGGTAGCTGAGCAGGGACACAGTGTCGAAGGGGCTCTGAAGCGGAGACAACAAATCCGACTCGTAGACTTCGTCCCCGAAAACCTGGCTGTGTCCGTGGGGGTTGTGATGGTGGAAATCGTAGCCACTGTCGTCACTGTCTGGACTATCGCCGGAGCCTGGGGCCACAAGATCGTGAGAACTGTTGAGAGCAAGCTTGCTAGCGGTCGTGGTTGAGGCGGCCGAGTCTCGCTTTCTTCGCTGTCGCGGTTTCACGGGCTCGTAATTGCAGTCCAGGCCGCGCTCGGCGCAACGGGAACATTGCGGCCGTTCCTCGTCACATTTCTTCTTCTATACGGAGTGTTAGAGCGCACATTTCTAAACCAGATCGTTCGGGTCTTAGGGCGACCCAAATATCGCAAGTTCGCGGCTAAGTAGGGATCGAGACGATCGGGTGGTTGTACGAACCTTTTCCTTGCTACAGGCGTGTCAGAAAACAGGTTCTTCAGAATAAGGATGAACGATGCAATGGAGATCACGTACCAGTATGTGCAACCTGCATGAACCCAGCGATCATCCGGTTAGAAACAGTCGTACAAAGTCATGGGAAGCAGACGGGAGGGTTGGGTTTGGGTGGCAGAATGGGGAGATGTTGTTTCAGGAATTGGAGACAAGAGAAGAGGGGAAGAATGATCGCGTACAGCTCGCACCTCACCCTCAATTATGCTTTCACGGCAGGGGAAGGCAATGGCAGGGACGTTGCGCCACCAGGCTGGTTGCATTTGACTTACCTGCTCTTGATCGTGTCTTTGGAACCTTAGGCGCTGCACGCTTGGTGTAGAGCAACATGGTGGCGTCTCTTGGCTTCCTCCGATATTCCCTGTCTTTCTTCTAATTTGCCAGTGCCAGTTGGTTGATCTTCCCGTCGATGTCAACGGGAGTGCATAATTCATTCGTTACTCCAAAGAGTTCGCGAAGCCAGCAACTACGTCGGTTGGTCGCCGCAGCCCATAGTAGGTGTGCCGGTATTGCAGCAGGTGGATCAGAACAGAGAGCGGTCGCAATCGCAGTCGGAATGTCAATTGGGATTTTACTGCGGGTATGTGAATGTTGGTGGAAAAGCCGGTGTTCGTTCCTCTGTACGCGGGGTCGTCGCAAGCAGGCGCAGTTTGTATTTTCTTGTCAAGTTTTGGGCGACTATGTCGAGAAGAAATCGTATAGTGAGCAAGATATGTGAAGAGTGAAGAGTGGAGAGTCGAGGTCGGCCGAGGGTCACAAGTACTGGGCGGCGGGGGGATCGTGAGTTCTTGAAAAGTGAAGTGCGGAGGCGACTTGAGTGAATGAATGACGAGAGACCTTGGGGTCTTTTCAGGACTCTCTCCATCATGTGCCAGGCGAGCCTCTCCTCTCTCCTGCTTTAGAAGGACAGGGAGGGAAGTCCTAATCGTTCGCTCAAGCCAAGACGGCCGCTTGTTCGGTCTGGACTTTCTCCTCAGAGCAAGTGTATACGAGTAATTTCTGCCCACACACACACGCACTCACTCGCGCGAACCCAGGGACACACACCGGTCCTCAGTGATGATGCCCCATCCCGGCAAAGCCCAGCGCCACGCTTCTCCTCAAGTGGAGAAGTTGCGGGGTCAGGGAACGCAACTTGGCGGACGGCCAGGGGCCCAGCTTGCTCTGTGATGCTGAGCCCGCACTGGCCGGGCGCCAAAGACAGTATGTGCTTTTACTCACGGACAATCACTACAGGCATCTCTATGTACATGACCGTCATTGTCATGAACTAGAGAGATCTGCTGCCGCCTGCCCGTTGGATGCGCAGCAATCATCTGCATTTGCCAACCTTCCCTTGCCAATGAGATGGACTTCCGGGCCTCCCCAGGCAAGTCAGGGTGGGCAGCCATGACCCCAAGATGACACACAGGACTAGGTACTGGGGACCCCAGAATCCGTCAAGAAGGCGATGGCCCAAGATTGACACACCAGCCAGACTCTCGGAGTAAGTCCCGGGCCACCGTCATGATCAATATTGAGGGACTTCGTCCGTTCAGCCATGCATTATGGCTGAAGCGAGACGGCCTCCCGTACCGCAATCGTCACAGGCTTCCGTCCCCGGACCGCTATATCACTCTCGTTTACGGTAGCTTCTCTCACTCGCCTGTCCGTACCTGCAGGGCAAGGCTTGGCATCTACACATCTCAGGGCACATCGCCAAAATTTTGATCATGAGCATCGTGAATAAGATCATGGTCCAAATGCCGGGAATCCATCATGTCGAAGCGCCAACTGGTAGGTAGCGGCGCACCATGGCCCAAGCAACTAGCATTAGCCGTGGCTTTGGTATGTAGTACCAGTAGGACGCCTCCTCTATTCTAAGTCTTCACTTAGCGGCAGCTGATTGTGCATGTAGTCTAAGTTGGATTGATGGCACCGTTGTGCTATGCTAAAGAAGATCGTGAGAGTGAGCAGCAATGATGACCGCTTCACAAGCCAAATGGGGGTAATACTCCGATCGAAGGCACACGGAAGAATTCACCTCCGTTGTATACGCATGTGCAAGTACCCATCTAGCTTGGATATCAAGCACATGAGATCACAGATTCCTTGAATAATCTACATTTTTACATGAAGATAGAAATCCTGGAGCCAAGGCAAGTTGAAGAATTGTAAATCTAGTCTCTGCGTGTTGGTGCAGGTCTTCCCTGGGTCGCACATATATTTGCGCACTAGACATGTAAGGACTCCATAAAGGAATTGCTGTAATTGGTGTGCAAGTTGCTATGGAATCCTTTCTGCTAATGCTTCATAAATAGGTTTGGACCCTGAAGCTGTCGAAATTATATCAATAGACAAAAGGAAGCATCTTCTTCAACGCTGCTCAGGGGCAACTCGACGACGTGGATTAGAGCAGACCACGGGGCTGTATTTCCCACGCGAGGATCGCCGTTCGTGCTTTCGAAGGCTTCTGGAAATGTCTCTTTTAGGATCCTTTCTCGTCATGTGGTTGGCTGATTTCCAACGCAAAGACAGGGCTTCCCTGCAGCGAGTCGAGGTTGGCGGATTGATAATTTAGCCTAAATGTACGATCGCACCAACCAGGCGTAGCTTGCGACTATGAGGACAGTCCTCCTGCCCAAGCATAGTGGCGTCAGGCCCCGAGAGCCCCGAAAGCTGATCAAGTGCCAGTATCCTGTAACCCAGGTCTTTGAGATAGTGCGGGTTCAAGTGAGGAATGGTAATAAACTAATGGTGATTTCGATCCAGAATATGTCGCCCATCTGTAGCAGTTGTCATCGAGATACGCATACGAGTCTCGATGGCAGCGTAGAGCCTCTAACCAACGCAATGAAAAACCACTTACTGTTTATTCCGAAGTGTTAGTTACGTGAGGTCCTTCGATAGCGCTCTGACCTCTATTTCCCCAGCTAGGCACAATTCTCCTCACAAATAGACCGAGTGCCAATTTCAAAGGGACAGCTCTCCGGTCATATCCGTCCCGCGGCCAGTACTCTAACGGGAAAAACGGGGGTGTTCACAAGGACGACCTCCTACAACCACACTGATGATAAAGTGTGTTGCACGGCCATAAGCGTTCTTTTACGGCAACCGCCATCATCACTGCTTCCTATCATCAGCTTGCTCCTTCTGCTTCCCCTCCTCTTCGTGAGAGCCTGCCTAGTCTGCAGCTCCGTCAGCCACGAGTGGGCTCTGGCGCCGCAGACACACCTTCACCACTGCGACATGGCTGCTTCCTTATGCTACCCCGGCCAATGGCAGCACCGCCGCGGCTGACTTGTCTTGGGCGTATGCTCATTGGGAGCCGGCTGCGTAATCCCACTGCACGGCGCTGCCGCACCACCTGCCCACGATGGCCTCCGAGTGGAGGGTTGGTCCAGTCGACCAGCACATTTCGCCGAGGGCGCCTCTATTGGTCATGCATCCCGCATCAGGCTGCTGCTACTTGTTGCTTGCTGCTGCTATCGGACAGTCCCCACGATCAGAAGAGGCTTTCAGGTCTGTCCCAGTGCAGCATTGACTCTGCGCAAAGGGCAATGCCGCCGGCGATCTCTTCCCAGAAGTCTGGAAGCCCTCGTCGCTCTCCCGCAAGGCTCACTGCATCATCTCCCTGGTCAATACTCTCTTGCAGTGATCCGCGACAACGTCACCTCAATATCGCGCTGCATCTGTTCCTTAAGACAACACGCGCTTAATCGGCAAGCAAGCTTTTCTGGAACGCGGTCCCATCTATTCTATCTTTAAGCCTGTGTGTCGTCTCTGAGTGGCCCATTTGGGGGCTGTCGTGAGATCCCGTCGCCGGCCGACCTGCTGTGTGCGGCGTGGCAGCGCACTCAGCCACCCTCTGCTGCTGCGCACTGCTCACCCAAAATAAGCGTCTATCTTTCTTTGCGTGAGGTTGTCATCATCGCGTCGTATTGAATCTGCTCGGTAACCTTCTTCTCTCTTTTTATTTTGCATCGTTGTTGAGCTTTGGCGACCAGACTCGCTCGTGCTGTTCTTCCCCGCCGAAGCGCAACTACGTCCAGACCCTTAGCTCCAAGCGACATCGAACTGCCAAAGCAAATGTCTATCCGAATGTGGTGATCCATCCGGATCTCGCTCAAATCGAACCTCTTGCAGCGAAAAATAAATGACCGAGAGATCAAGACAGTCAGGATGCGCAGTATTTGGTCATGTTGGTCGTGTGCTGTTATGCTGCTCTCGGCTATCCTCCCAAGAGAAGCAGCTGCAACATACTATGGGAAACGGGACACAATTCACAGGGTAGATAAAGTCCATGTGGTCACACAATATTTGGCCAAAGAGAAGCGAGGCGATGCAAGTCTCTGTCCAGCGAGTTACTCGCTCTGCCCATCTTCACTGAGCGGCGGTTGCTGTCCAGATCGTTACGGCTGCGCAACGGACTCATGCTACGCGACAACTGCGGGAACGTCTACAGCGTGCGGGAGAAAGGGATATTTCAATTGTGGGATTGATGTTGGTGGAGGTTGCTGTCCTGAAGGTCCGTTTTGACTCGGCTGCTCTTCTTTTTGGCTGATTTACTAACAAACATTAGGATATGTCTGTGGCCTCAATGATTGTTCTGCTCCAGCAGGCGTGACGTACTCTCAGACTTGCCCTGTAGGCTACTATCTCTGCCCAGCATCCTATAATTACGGTTGTTGCCAGACAGGTTATGGATGTGCTCTCAATGCATGTTGGGCGACTAGCCCATTGACTTGGGTCTTGACCTACACAACCACGAGAAGCGGTTCTGAGGCAACAGTAACGACCACCACGGTCTCAACTCCTACTCAACCAGCCGGACTCCCAACATCTGACACCTCTGCCGCCTTCCCGAAACTCATTCCCACTACAGAGCCGAAAGCACAAGCATCTGCCGCTCCCTCCTCAGGCGGCGGCCTTACAAAAGCACAGCTAGGCGGCATTATTGGTGGCGCTCTTGTATTGCTTGTCATCGTCATCCTAGCTACCTTTATCATTATAAAACGCCTCAATCACACAGCAAGAGTCGTTCAATCGGCAAAGGCCTCGTCCAGTGGCGATGTGACCGGAACCGATAAGAAGCCCTCGACTCAAGTTAGCGTGACACAGGTGCGAGTTCGCCCTACAACCTCCGAAGTCGATGCCATGGACTACGATCCCTTGATGATGACCGGAACTTCCGGTACACCAGCATCTGTCAGTTACGGGCGGTCAAGGAGTGGGTCGGAGCTCTCGAGCCAGGCTACGCCGTTCCCTCCTAGCGGTGGCCGACAGAGTGTAGACTCGCATCAAGGCAGCTATTTTGATATTCCTCGGCCGAGCAACTTCCCTGGACGCCACGCTAACAGCGTTGGGGTCCGCTCGAGTATGGACTCACAAAGTCAATACCAATACCAGAATCACGGGCGACATTGGAGCAACGCCAGCGACCTGTCTGCGGGCAGTGGCGGTGAGGCTGGTGGTTCACATGTCGGCAGCCCGCTCATGCCTGCGGAGCTCAGCAATGACGGCGGCTTTGTACCAGAACTCGCTGGATCAGACACCGAAAATGAAGAGCGTAGACGATCCAGTAGTGTTGCCAGCCCACGAGGTACCAGCTCCTATATGAGCCCGAATCTCCCCAGACCACCATTGGCGCACCAAAGGCGGCGCAGCGATGGGCACTCGAGAGGCAGAAGCGATAGTACCGTGCCACCACAGTCACTTGGTGTCGTCAATGAAGGATCGGAGATGATACATGGGTACTACGGTCCTAACAATGTTGCAACTGGCCAGACGAATGCTGGCCTTGAGATATCCTACGACATAAGCTCACCGATTGCTCCACGACCTCGACCAGAGAGTTGAGCACTGTGGGAAAAAAACCTGAATACATTATAAAACACATCTTTAGCAGCTATGTCTCGCGCCACGTCTTGCCTTGAAGTCGCCCATTAGCGGCATCATGTCATGTTCAAGCAGCTGTAGACGCACCAAGTTATGGTATCTAGCATTGACCGTACCGGTGAAGGCTCTAAAGAAAAGGTTGCTCGTGGAATCACTCCTAAAATCCAGAAACAACCGAGCATATCACACAGGGTGTCATTCCAAGTTTTTGATGGCCTTTCGGATTGGGGGAAGGATCCGGCTTCCAGATGAGCAATCTTCTACAGTAACGCTTGAGGTCTACTTCCTCCTGGCTTGGATGATGGGAAGGAAATGACTTGAGAGGACAATGCGGTTCGGACTGATAGCCTCAAGATGTTGAGAGTCACGGCAGATAACCAAATTGATCCAGACACACGGTGGACGAGAATCAAATTCAGAACTTCGAGCACAGCTAGGTGCGATATATACATGCATAGCCTCTTTAGGTGAGACTGTATCATGCCAATTAGCCTCTATGATCAAATTTTACTCTCTTAACAAGACGCCTCAATGCTTGATCCCCTTTGATGTTCTAGGCCAAATTGGGTCACTGGCGCACAAAGACTGGTATCGTCTCCAGTGGAGCATCAACGTCCGCTGAGATGCCGCCCTCGTAGATATTGTCTGTTTCCATAGCTTTCCATCTCGCACCTACCGGAAAGTACACCGTCCTCTTGGTCAGCCCAGGGTACAATATCGGGGCTACCAGATACTTGGCCCCGAACATGTACTCGTCCTCAATCTCCCAGGCTTCCTTATCCTCTGGAAATTCTAGGAACAACGTACGAATTACAGGTGTTCCCTTCGCCGATGCCTCCTTCATCAATACTCGGACGTAATCACGTAGAGTCTCACGCAAGTGGAGATACTTGGTCAGGATCTTTTCCACCTTTTCGCCGTAAGACCATACCTCATTATCTGCTCCTGATGGACATCTCCCAGCGCCAGTCTTTCCGAGGGCAGGCTTATTGGGATAGCGATCTCCGTGAAGGCGGAATACTGGCAAGAAAGCCCCCCACTGGAACCATCGGACGAGCAATTCCCTGAAAGCTTCGTCATTGGGGTCGCCGCCGTGAAATCCACCAATATCAGTTGTCCAGTGCGAGATGCCTGCTACGCCCACATTCAGACCAGCAGCTAGCTGATTACGAAGACTGCCCCATGAGGAGGCAATGTCACCACTCCAGAGTAGAGCACCAAACTTCTGAGAACCAGCCCAGGCACACCGTACTAGATTGACCTCGTTTGGAGCTCTGCCTTGGATTGGGCCGGCAGCTTTGGCACCCTCGTAGAACGCTTGCGAATAATTTCGAGGATAGATGTTTCCGATCGCCAAACTTGGACCGAGGTGGTATCTCCAGTTGTCAAAATCATAAGTCTTGTACTCAGGTTCCGCCTCGTCTAGCCAAAACAGTCGAATACCATATTGACCATAATTCTTCTTCGCCTTCTCCCAGACGTATTGCCTTGCCTCCGGATTTGTCGCATCGAAGTGCACTGTATTGCCTTGGAAGTCCATGACAGCTCTAAATCCCCTTTCATTTCGAATCAGCAGGCCCTTCTCCACCATCTCGCTCCAGTTCTCCGAATCTTCTTCTACCGTTGGCCAGATCGATACCATAGGTTCAATGCCTAGTTCCCTCAACTCCCTACACATTGCTGCAGGATCTGGCCAGTAGTCCTTGTCGAAGCTCCACTCGCCCTGTGCCCTCCAGTGAAAAAAGTCGATAACAAGCACGTCCAAGGGCAAGTTCCTCTTCTTGTAGCCTCGCGCTACCTCCAAGGTCTCTTCTTGAGTCTGGTACCGGAGCTTACTTTGCCAGAATCCCAGACCATACTCAGGCATCATAGGAGGTTTGCCCGTCGCGTCAGCATACCGCTCACATATGGCTTTTGGGGTATCCTCCACGACTATCCAGTAGTCTAATTTTCGGGTACTACTCGCAGTGAAGCTCATAATATTGTTGCCCAGCACAGCTCGGCCAACACTGGGATTGTTCCACAGAAAACCGTACCCAAGACTGCTCAGCATGAATGGTACACTCGCTTGACTGTTCCGCTGAGCGAGTTCTAGGTCTGTACCCTTTAGGTCCAGGTATGCCTGCTGGTACTGGCCCATGCCAAATAGCTTCTCCTTCTTCGAAACGCTTTCCAGACGCAATGTCAACGCGTAGTCACCACCGACAATTGGGCGAAATTCGCGAGCCTCCACTTCAAGTGCTGATGCCTTCGGGTCCCGCACATCGACTCGAGTCCGTGCATACTCCTCGAGCAGCAAAGCTCCAGTCACTGTGTGGTGCATCGTCACCTTGCCCCGCCGAGAGACTATAGCTTTCACGTTCCCGTTGGTGATGGTGGCAGTCTCGTCGCCTATCTCGATCATGGCTGGGGCAGCAGCAACGGGCTCGTCTAGGGCCCAATCCTCAGAAGGCATCTCGTGCGATTTCGTAGCGCGGACACGGAGCGCATTGGGCCCCCATGGCTCGAGCCATAAGCGCTCCCCGTCATAAGTGTAGATGAGACGGTCGTCCTTCTGTCCAAACATTGTCTCGATTCTCACGACAAAATGGCACAGAGAGTTGTAGTTGAAGGGGAAGTCGCCCTATGGAGAGAAGGAGCTCCTCCATCTTTATACGATGCGAAGAGCATTTGTCAATCTCGGTGGATCATCGCTACGAAATTCGATGGGCCATCAAGGTAACCGCTCCAATCGTCGTGGTAAAGATTTCTGATTCGGGCACGTCTACAGAGTTTAGGGGCTTCTTAGGGTGCCCCGTGGCGTGTCTTACAGTGGACGGTGAGGGGAAGTGCGGCGTGATCGGTCGCAGGTAAGCTCCGCTCCGCGCATTTGATGTCCAATGACAGGCGAATATTACCGTGAAGAGCCACCCGTAGATGTCCCCCAAGGTCTCTCCTCCAGACCTAAAAACAATCAGCTATCCTATACCTATAATGTCATACACGAATTTGCGGTGGGGAATCGACATTCGAGCACACGTTAAAACTTTTGAGTGGATATTTGATGAGACACATCCCGAAGCATTAGTGTCACTTCCTTTTCGCTCCTGGTTACGCACACAGAAGGAACATTTTGGATTCAAGGGAAAGCAGGATCCGGCAAATCAACCCTCATGAAGTTTCTATGAGACAACACCAAGACGTACGATCATCTACGTGCCTGGGCAGGAAACCGGTCATTGGTTACAGCAAAGTATTTCTTCTGGAATAGTGGAACTCGGCTCCAGAAGTCTCTTGGGGGACTTTTGCGGACAATACTCTTCGAGATTTTTCGAACATGCCCAAAGAGAACTGACAATATAAGTATCACTGGACATGGCATGCCCTTGACCGAATCATCTTGGCATGAAGATCGTCTTATCGATACGATGGGTATTGTGATGGATCTGGACATCCCAACCTCTTTCTGCTTCTTCATCGATGGCCTTGATGACTTTGACGGATGTAGTAGAGGCTTGATACAGAACCTTGAGAGATTTAGCAAAAACCCACATCTTAAAATATGTGTGTCCAGCTGTCCGCATACCGAATTTCTAGATAGGTATGGTAAAGGCCCTGACCATCTCTTGAAGCTAGAAGACCTTACGACAGGTGACATCCGATGTTACGTCTTGGACACGCTCAGCAGTAATGACAACTTCAGCAACATGAGAGAGCACGATCATAACTATTCACAAATTGTGGAAGAAGTTGTCGGGAAGTCCCAGGGAGTGTTTCTGTGGGTATTTTTTGCTGTACGTTCGCTTCTAGAGGGCCTTAGATATGAAGATCGGATCATCGACATGCGTCGGCGTCTTGCCGAATTTCCGAAGGATATCGAGACATTTTTCTGCAAAATCCTCCATTCTATACCTCCATTCTATAGACGTCATACTGCAAGAGCGTTTCAGACTGCTCTCTCCTCTGATAGCACTCTTCCGCTTATGTTATATTCGTTTCTTGACGACATCGACGAGGATCCGGAATTTGCTTTCAAAAGCAATTTTCGAAATTTGAAATCCAGTCAAATATCTCAAAGAGTTGTTCAAATGCGAAAGCAACTAGATGCAAGGAGCAAAGGCTTGCTAGAAGTGGTTTGTCAGCAAGAAGGATCAGATGTGGAATCGACGCCGTTTTCCAGTTACTACGTAACTTATCTTCACAGAACTGTGAAAGATTATTTGGAGGCATCTTGTGACGTCAGAAACTTATTTCGAAAACATCTCGAACCTGCCTTCGATATCCAACTTTCTTCGTCTATGGCCCATTTGACGATGCTCAAATGCCATCCCTATACTAGAGCTTCTGTTCATCATAATTCTGATGGCTACATTCGTGAGATAGTTTATCGAGCAAGAGGGATGCAAAACAACCTTTACAGGAGACGCGAGGCACATAGAATACTCAAAGATGCTGAGAATACAATGGAATTCCTCCGTCAGACCTGGAGTTCGACAACGCTCCGATCACGTGCTGTATTGAGTTATCTGGTTCAAGAAGGACTAGAGCAAAACGTGAGTTATGCAGTGCGAGATGAACCAAGCCTGGCAAGATGGACAGCTCCTTGTTTCCTGGATATGGCACTGAGACCCACTAAGGCTCTGCTGAGAGAGAGGTGGCCATCCCCCCCGATAATCTTCACATTCCTCAAACATAGAGCGACACCGAATCAGGTACAGAATAACTCGACTGTTTGGGCGTTGTTCCTGCAAAGACTAGCCAGGCGAGACTTCTTTGGGCGGCATGAGACAGTATTTCCGGCAGGCAACCCTACAGATAGCGATGGTAATGCCCGGTTTGAATCGAAAGCGCAGACTCCACAGCTTCGTCAAGAAATTAGCACAGCTAGTAACAAAGATGCGATGATAACATCCTATGGTCTCAAGACTGGCGACGAGTTAAATGTTCAACACGGTCGAAAGCAAAAACGCAAAGAGATGTCCGATCAGAATAAAATTTGCCATGACGCTTTGGAAAAGTTTGACAAGGAATTTCGCAACTACCACGGCGAATCTAGCTCCTCAGGCCAAGTCGATTTAAAGTTCCAGGAAGCTGGAAACTATAAAATTGATCAAGTGCATTCGGAAGTCATGAAAGATTTCTGGATTCAGTTTCATCATGGCGAGTATGTTATGGGCGAAATGGGGAGTCCAACAACACGCCCCTATCCAATCAGTGTGCTGAGATAGTCCAAATGTTTCTACGTCAAGGGGCAGACCTAGACACTAATTTGCAAGTGTTGTTCAAGAAAATCCAGGGTCATCTGAAGGAATAGATGAATGGCAAACTCGTGTGGTATACAGTGTATAGTTGAAGGCGCGTAGTCTTTTTGACAAGCCCTTCGAAGTTCGGATGTCCAGAGCTTGAAGGGGTCATGAATATGTCGACTCAGAGTGGTATGACGAGCAAGGAAAGCACATATGCATCCGAAAGCGAAGAAGATAAGGCCACAAGTTAGACCACAAAGTATGACCTAGACAAAGGGGTTCTTGAAATTACTGGAGCCCACACATAGACCTTATTCTAGATGGGTATTTCACCTCGAATGACTTCACGTATAACGGTCTTCAAAGATCTCGAAGCACTCGTATCCTTGATGAGCCAAGATCTATAGCTTTCAGCTCGAACCGGGGCTGTAAACTGCTTGCCCAGATTATGAATTGATTTTATATAGTCAAAATCAAGTCACCGTACATGAAGCCGTTCATTAGTTCCGTCCGTCGCCTTAAGCAGCATGATTGGTTTTCATTGATCGAAGCTTACTTCTAGCAATCTGCCAAATATTTCGTCCATCATCGTCCTCCAGTGTAGCCTCGTATTCATCAATTTTGAGAGCTTCCCAGATGAGGTCAACCTCAGAAGCCGGAATGATCTTGGTGCGCTTTAGGATCTTCCAACCGGAATAGGTCAAGATCAAGACAAAAATCATCAGATAATAGATGAAAAATGTTCCGACGTCGAAATTTCCAGGAAGGAAAACTGCGTAACCATAACAGCAAACGATCAAAGTCATGCTGACCAGCCCAAGCCATGCCCCGTATGGCTGAAACCAGCCTTTGTATGGTAGCCTGTCGCGATCGAAACCTTGAGCTTTCATCGCTCGATAAAAGAAGAGATAAACGATAGACATGCCGATAAAGCTGTGAATGAATAATTAGCTGCGTACTAGCATTTGAAATTGGGGATTATTACTTGATAAGCTGTCCGGCTGTGGTCAAGTTGGCGAGCCTAAAGACGAAAGTCAGCACATGCTGAGCTGAGAATTACATCTTCCAATGAAACTTACCACAGAACAACCTGCGAGGAGTTGCTTCCCAAAATCAACAATGATAAGAAAGGGAAGACCATGGTTATTGCGAAGCAGTAGATCGGAACTCCAGATTTGAGGCACTTTCGCAAAAACTTAGGAGCATGGCCATCAAGAGCCAAAGCATACAATGTTCTGGAAGCACAGTAAACATAGGAATTGCCGGCTGAAAATATGCTAGTCAGAAGCAATGCATTGGTGATGTGCGGTAGCACCTCGATGCCCATATTCTGCATGGCAATCACATAGGGGCTAGCGGCTCCAGTGCCAGAGCCGCCGGTCTCGCCAGAGTTGATCGCTACAAGGGTTGGGTCATTGTAGGGGACGACGATACCGACCGCGAGAGCACCTCCGATGAAGAAGAGACCGAATCTCCAGTAAATGGTCGTGTATGCCTTCTTCAGTGTTTTACGTGGAGACTTGGCCTCTGCAGCGAGCATTGCCACGTATTCAGGTCCGACAATGACGAAGCAGGCTCTCCAGAGGCCTGAGAGAAAACCTTCAAATCTTCCGAGAGTGCCTGTGGCTAGGTATTCCGCAAAAGCGCCCTTATTACGTCAGCATATTGGTTTGTGATAGTTGTGAGTGGATTTATATTTGCATACCGGAGTCTTCCAATATCGGAAACCATAGGCATCGTGCTGTGGGTTTCCTCCGGCCATGGTGACGATGGTAAAGCCAAATACCAGGAAAATTAAGATTAGCTCTATGTAAGAGTGATTAAACATTAGCATGAGTTCGCAAAGATACAGGGTTTTCCTTCGTAAAACGTACTTCCAATGGCAAGCCAAAACTCGCTCTCGCCATATCTGTGAACAGCAAAGATGTTGATGAAACTAAGAGCAGTCAGGAAGATGTCATTTGAGACAATACTTGCTGCTTACCCATATACGACAATACAGCCAATGCATATTGCTGCGGCAGGCACATTATCACTCCAGAAGCTGATAACAAGATTGAATGCACTGATTTCGTAGGGGATAAGTGTGGCCTCATAAAGGAAGAAGTTCCACCCGAGAGCAAAGCCGAGAGCATCATCAACCCAGTGGCTGGCCATTCGAATCCAACCACCGCTAACGGGCATATAGGTCGACATCTCAGCCATCGAGTTGTTGCACGCACCGAGGAAAAGAGCGTAGAGAATGAAACCTATCAACAAGCTACCTGGACCAGCAGACATCAAGCCGGCGCCAATTGTGACGAATAGAGCCGTTCCAATTGAGCCACCTATGATCATCAGCTGCATTTGGCGCCATGATAACTTTCGTTCGAGATGGTAGAACTTCTCAATAGTGCCAACATCATAGTCGCTGCCCACGTTGGTGGTCGGCGTCTGATCGAGCTTGTAAGCCGGCTTGTCGTTATCATGCATTACTGTGGGTTCCATAGTGACTAAAATTCCAGAAATGAGGACACCGTGGGTAAAGCACAAGACCGCAAGGTCGACAGAGCAGGGTCATCTGAAACCTATATCAATAAGTTGACAATCGTCTCCTAATCGATTGGTTTGCTTGTGTATATCCCACTTTTGAGGTAGGCATGCCTAACTTGCACAGCGGAGCATTGCCGTTCGACTAGCCGGCCGGCCTTATCAGCATTTCAGGGTCAAGATAAGACGACGTAATTATCAAGGACATGAATGAGATCCAACAGTCTGTCAAATCCCAGATACTCATCCTGAAACAGCGTCGATCAAGGTATCAAAAAAGTACAGCAGTTCCCTTTCCAGTGTGTCAGCCAAAAATGGCAAAAAAGCCCTGAAAAGGGAAGATAGCTATCACTTGCTTGTTGAAATCGAATCTGGCAAGCTACGCCGAGACTCTCCACCCTTATCGCCCGGCCTCAAGTCAGTACATCCCGGACCGGACCCGCCCTTAATGTGAAGCGGGGTTGGGTCCGGCTGAGTAGGTAGTCTTGATAAACATATCGATCCGTTGGCCGATGGTAACCTTCATCAGAGTCATCGAAGATCAATTAGTTCAGGCATAAAACGGCCCTAGGTTGGCTGGTATCGAGCCTAGAGCTCGCCATTGTTGTCTTCAAAGCCTTCTTTTGTCTTCACATTCCCTGGGGTTTCACAGTAGAGTCTACACAGTCGGCTACATAAATATTTTTTCTTCTATTTTAAAGAGGCATTAAGTTTTGTGACGATGCCGTCTTCAACTGCCCCTATCTTGCAGAGGATTGATGCCTCTGACATTGAAGGCCTAAAGAAGGCGATCATTGAAGACGGGGCTGCAATCATACAGAACTTCACCACACCCGACCTTGTTGACCAAGTCAATGCAGAGACACGGCCTTATCTAGACTCAGATAAACCTTGGAAGGGTTCACTATTCCCTCCTGAGACCAGGCGATGTGCGCGTCTCGTTTCTCGCAGCAAAACTGTTCGAGAGCATTGGCTTGTTCACCCTGCTATTACCGCTTTGACTGAATTCTTTTTGGCCAAGACCACCAGTAACTACTACGGAGCGGAAAAGCACACATATACTACCCACCCAATCATTAACATATCCCTGACAATCGAGACCAGGCCTGGTAGTAAGGCTCAGCGACTACACAGAGATGACAAGAACTTCCACGTCGATCATGTAGACCAGACTAAGACTGGCTATAGAGTAGGTAGTGATGTGGGAATGGCGTTCCTCATTCCAGGTGTGAGTACCACTGTTGAAAATGGCGCCACACAGGTAAGTTAACACCAGTATTAGACAAGTATACGAACTAAATCTCGTAGGTCCTTCCTGGCTCTCACCTCTGGGGTATGGAGCGTTGGCCTAAGGCTGAGGACCTAGCGTATGCAACAATGAAGAAGGGCGAGGCGTACGTAATGCTAGGGGGAACCTATCATGCCGGCGGCGAGAACACAACGGAAGACCAAATGCGCCCTATGCACGGCCTTTTCTTCACACAAGGAATCATGCGCGGAGAAGAAAATCAGTACCTGATTCATAGCAAGGAAGAGGTCTTATCTTGGTCCCCTGAAGTTCAGCGCAAGATGGGCTTCCATCTGTCCAGTCCCAACATTGGGTTTGTGGACTTTATGTCGCCAGTCGAGTTCATGGAAGGAGTTGAGCGACCGTATTGGATTGATCCAGATCCTGCCTTCACTGGGGTTTTAGAAAATTAGTATTTTATAGTTAATGCGAACAAACAGAGGGTGCGGATTGCTACTGTTTTCAATTTGAAATTTCTAATATACGTAAATTTGTGTACGCGAACAATTTCATCATGTCAAGACTAGGATGGTCCCTTTGCCCCGAAGGACATCCACCCACGTAGCATCTGGATTCTCCTCACGTTGCACTCTCCAAAGTTCCTCTGTTACACGACTTGCGGTATCAAAGCTGCGCCAACCACTTGCTTTTGCAGTTTTCTTCAGCCAATCAAGCGCTGCGTGGCGCCTAAGACTTCCACGAGCTTCAACCGCGGCCATAAAACCGGGCCATATGATGCTTGTGTTAAGGATGCTTGACTCCAGCTTGTGTCTCTCCATCTTTTCAAGATTTTCAATAACCCTATCAACATATGGCTGTAAGATCATTGGATTGACGTTGTGAATGCGTCGGTAGAAGTAAAGTATTAATGAATTATGAATAGCAAGGACAACAAGCTTTAACATCTCACCATTCAAAGAGGGCGACAAGACGTTATCGTCATGCTGAAGACTGGTTTCTGCAGTGATTGCTTCTTGCATATTCCAGCTGCAAACATCGTTTTCCAACCGTTTGATTCGCGCTGTCAAATTACTTGCTGGGGCAGGCATTCCTCCAGCCTCGAGCTCATTAGCTAAGCTGGTGGTTCTGGATATGAGGGAGAAAAGGGAGAGCGGGATGCCATATATGGCCATCATGAGCGATGGCTCACTTCTGGATTGAGAAATCAATTCGGTCTCGAAGTTCGCTCCGCATATTTGATCGAGGTCTTGGTTAGACATCCAGCTACTGGTGTGCAGGGATGGAAAGAGGTAGCGATCAGGACTTTGGCTTTGAATCCATGGCAAATCCAATTCGTGTCGAGAATATATATATGTGCTCTCTTCAATAATTCGAAGGAACAGAAAAATGTGATGAAGTATCTTGACTTTGCGACTCTTGTTTGGCTTCGGGAGCCCACGTAGAGCAATCAAACGTTCTGCATCAAGCAGATAGCTTCTAGCTTCAGCATGCTGGCCGCTGGAGACCTGTTCAAGTCGTGAGAATTATTGATCGTTTCATCCCAGGATGACATCTTACGGAGATCGAGACTAAAGAAAGCAGAGCCACGAGGATTTCTTTGTATTTTGCCCTGTTGGGTCCTCGCAGCTCCTTCGAAAAGCATTGCTTCATCTCACCCTTGGCCAGATCTTTGTTTCTCGTGGCCAATTCGTACCAGAAAGTAGAATCCTTTGCAGTGCCTATCCCGCTTCTGTCAAGAGTGAAGGCACTGACTGATAACATGGCCCTGAATACTGTTACTTTGGCACTACTAGACTTGCCCCACACTGATAGCTCAGACATTGTGTTCAAGGCGATCGGAAGATGAAGAACCTTCCATGGGTGCTTATGGATTCGCAAAGGCGAAAACCAATTATCCATATTGCTGCGCCAATGTCTCAGTAAGAAGCCGGCGCTTGAAGGCAAAGAACCTGGGGTAAAGTCCTCAGGAGCGATTGGTTCGTTGACAATATTCTGACTTGCAAGCGAAAATATGGGAGTTGGCGGTGACTCATAAATGTTATTGACATTTCGATGCTTCGAAACGAAGTTAGCTTGGGACAATATGCTGCTGAAGATTTGACTATACAATTTGTGTCCCAACATCATTTTCTACAGTTGAGGGAAGTAGTAAGCCAGTCCAGGGATATTCAACAACGCAACTCTGTGATGAGTCCACGTCGCTGTCCAAAGCATCCGAATTCAAATGCCTGCTCTGGACTGATCTTTCTGTGGGTGTTGGAGGTAGAATATCAGACAATCGGAATGCGCCAAATGGACCCTTTTCGAAATGAGGCGCATGTGCATTTTGTGTGGATTCGGTATCTAGATCGTTCAAGAGCCCCGAGAGTGTTTGATCGGACTCATTCGCAACAAGGGTCATGATCTCCGACATTTCTTGTCGTTCGTTATCTCCAGGAAGAGTTAGTTCGTTCAAGATGTCGGCTAGGGAAGAGTCCGTATACTGGTATATAATGGTCTTCTTCCGTGACCACTGTGATCAATTCCCAGGTCAACTGCCTCTTCGTCGAAGCTACCCGACCTGGGAACATAGGATAGTCATCGAAGGCTAGCTCCGAATCCCTCGCAACGGAGGTTCGCTCTCTGACACGTGTGACAGCCTGGGCGAGTTTCGTCACACTTAACTTTCCTAGCACGGCATGTCACACAACCCTGTAGAGATCGAGCACGTGAAGTGCGTATTGGTGGCATATCAGCTGCAAGAGATCTGAGTGGTAATGGCTATTGTGGGGGTCAGAAGATGTTTGTGGTTGATTTGCGGAAAGACTGCAGATTGGAAGCTGGGATAACTTGCCTTTTTGAGTGTGCAGCAGCAGGGCCGAATCAAGATAAGAAGATATGTAGCAGCACCATTGCTCCTTGCGATATGCCGAACCCACTTTCCTTATCTCGCCGTATTAATATCGTACTCAGGTTTCCACTTTTATCGACCCTTATCACGCTACCAATTGCCTACAATCCAAACCAAGTATCCCGGTTCACAGGAAGATATGAAACATATCAGTAGCAGCATTTATTACTAGTGCGCTTAGAAGGCCGGTCGTGGATGGGGCATTTAAAGCTTAGAGGAAAACAATGGAGGTGATGAATATGGATCCCCCTTAGAAATATTCGATATTCGTAGCCCGCAGGAGATATTACATTATTCAAAGCCCGACCGAATTCTTGAGTGCGCTGCACATACAAGTAATATATTTATGCTAAACGCCAAAGAGTACTGATGCAAGGGCCATTGCTACTCCGGCCTGATCTCTAATCCCACTTTGCGTCGAGGAACGAAACGTCCATTCCTTCTCTTTCTTCAAATCCGGTCTTTACAGTCAAAATAGTCTCACCTGAGTCTCCAAAGCTGAGCCAGTCTATTCCTACCGGTGCACTATCTGATCTGAGGCCATGATGCTGGCAGCAATCGTATTTGTGGTCTTACTACTTGCGGCGTCATGCTATCTGATAACCTACTGGGCTACGCATGGGCAGGCATCGTGGCAAAATATAACCGTTTCTAAAGTGAGGTGATTTGTAATATCTAAGAATTTCAAACTAAAGTTACTCTCACAGACACCGATTTTCCTTGAGAAAGAGCTTATTCAGGGAGTGTCAGACCATAAGTCTCTAGAGGAGTCATTTAAACCAATCGAATCCCTTATAGACTTTA